GCCCAATGAAAATGAAGTCTCTAGTTCCAGAGCCAAGTATTTAATTTAATCAAATCACAGTAGATTTTAAAAGGCAAGATGTTAAATTGGAGAAATTGTATGCAGAGAGGAGAGAAGGTATTTGGGGCTCTTTGTACTTTCTGTAAAGATAAAACAGTTCTAAAATATAAAGTATATTAAAAAAAAAAAACTAAAAAGAAAATAACAACAAAACCCTCACAGGAGATTGGATCTACTGATTGAGCATCAATTTGAAAGCAGTGGTTACAGAAATTTGTATCAACTGATGCAATTTATTTAATCCTCATCTTTTGCTCACAGTGAACCTGTAAAATAAAAGCGTACGGACCAGCACAGAGAAGTGCTAGGCTGTCTTTTAAAAAATTTGTGATAATAAGAACAGAAAAATTTCCTTTCTGAATGTGTATGTCCAATTGCCCAAAATGATATTATTTTTCTACAAACTCTGAACATTTCTGCAGTGGTCACTATATAATATAAATCTTGGTTCCCTTTCACAACACTCTCCTTACCCCTACCCTCTCCCCCTCCCAAGAAGAAGTTGAACAACTACTCTGGCTATATTTTCAAGAGTATCCTAGTGAATGTGTTGAAATGCTGCTGAATTTATGTTAAATTTCAAGAGTTAATCATTGATGTCTTTCTCCTTCTCTTATTTCCTATAGTCAAGTCTTACAGCATTTCTATCTACAGAATTTTTGCCAGATTGAAGTTCTTTGATAATGAGAATTATATGGGACAGGTGTTAAAGGAGTTTGTGTACCAGCTGCATGTGCACTGGGGAGCCACTGAATGCTTTTGGTTATGGGTCTAGTGGGAATGGCCATTGGGAGGTAATTTTGAGGCTTTTGCAATAGTCTAAATGAAATGTTATAGGATCCTCCCCTACCATGTAATGAGAATCATAAAAGACAAATTTGAGAGGGAATTTGAAAGCAAAAACCAGAGCTGACTATTGTCATGGTAACAAAGAGAAAGGAAGCCACAATGTTTCCAAGATTTCAAGCCTGAGTATGTTATAAAATGGTGGGCACACCAAGCAAACTAGGAACTTGGAACTCAGTAGGAAAAAAAAGGGAAGATACGGTTAGAAAGAGAGTCTATTTAAAGAATTAAAGTAGGTGAAGTTTAAAGAATTCTGTTTGTCCCCTCAAACCAGTTGACTTTGAGTCAATTCCATCTTGTGGCAACCCCATGTGTGTGAAAGTAGAACTGTGCATCATAAGGTTTTCAATGGTGAATACTTTAGAAGTAGATCACCAGTGTTTTCTTCTGAGGCATCCATTGTGTTGTTATTGTTGTTGTTGCTAAGTGCCCTTGAGTTGGTTCAGACCCAGAGCGACCTGGTATATAGGGTTTCCAAAGAACAGCTGGTGAGGTTGAACCATCGATCTTGTGGTTCAAACGACTTCGCAGTCCAGTGCATTAGTGCACAGTGCCACACCAGGACTCTGAGGCATCTATTGGTGGACTCCAATTCCAACCTTTTGATCAGTAGCTGCTTTAACTACAGTTAAGTACTAAAGCATATTAAGAGTTTGCACCTTGACTCTTACTTATTGCCAAAATCATCCAAACGATGATGTTAACTAGTAAGTGTTCATTTAAGGAAAGTAATTGAATTTAAATGAATATTCTAGCAAATCTATAGTTCTATTCTTTTTTTTTTTTACTTAATCTATAGTCAATGAGCATTTATTATATGCCAGATACTATATTAATCAATATGTAATAGTAGATTTGGGGAGACGTAAAGGGCAGTTAGAGAGAGATTCTCCAGAACTCTTAAAATTTAAAGGTTGCAGAGAGTTGCTAGTGTAGCTAATTTTAAGACCAATTCTCCTGGGTTCTTATAGATCTCTCTCTTTTTCACACACATGGGGAGACACCCATTTTATTATATTCTATAATAACTTTCCCTTATATTGATTTAAAATATGCATTATTTACAAATTATCTTACCATATGCATTATTGTAAACCACCTCAGGTATCCTTTGAACAAATCAAAACATAAATAAACTCTAAGCTAAAAAACTTCCCTCTATTCCTGCCAGCTTGATGAAAAATGATTTTCTTTTGTGTTTTCTTCCCATCTTTATCCATATAAACACATAATTTTTCAAATATTTATAGAATATTCAAAAAGGAAAGAAAGACAACAAAAAGAAAAATGATTTGTCTTCCTTCAAAGAAGGGTGGCAAAAAAGGACAATAAATACTTCACAGGGGCTTGTAAATAGGATCTCCGGCAGTTAAACTGTCACCTGGATCCTGCTGGTGGAACAGAGCATCAGGAAGGAGGCTCAAACATGCCTATGTTTAGCCAAGGTGGGTTGTATGATAAGAGGGAGGGGACCTGACCACACACTCTGACTCATTCTTTCAAGTACACGTGTCAGTTTCTCCTACAATCCAGACAGCCTCCATCAGAATACAGAGCCTGACTGTAATCTCCCTGTGCTAAAACTTTTTCATTTCCACAAACCAAACCTTGGAAACTAACAAATGGTGGGAGCCACCTTGTTTTCATTAAATCACATGCATGATAACATGGTATTTGCTCGCACACAATTGCTCTTTCTCTGCTTGGGAACTGTAGCCCAGGCTTCTGGTCAGCATCTGAATCTTTCTCCAAATTCCATGTAAAAGTCTGTTTTGCCAAAAAGAAACTGTTAAAATGAAGTTGCTTTACCTACTACTTTATTCTCCTGTATTTTGTATTTAAAACCAGAATATGTGATTCTGTCAAAATACAGGAATTCAAATCACATAATTTTTAGGATTCCCTTTTGGGCAGTAATCAGCAGGAAGTGGAAAATAGATAGCATAGTATAATTTTGAGCATGGATTTGAATCACTTCTGTACAATTACTTGCTCAATGACCACAAGATAGTTCCTAGGGTCTTAGTTTCCTCATCTTTATTTTGGGCATGCTTTTGTATTTTCTTTCAGGGTATGAGTATCACCATGGTGAGGATTCCAGCATAGGGCTTGGGTCCAAATAGGCAATTAGTCTTGACCGAGAGTCACTTGCCGAAGGCTACGTGAGTCCTGCTGTGGTGTTGCAGGATAATGCACTGGATAGCAAGGCCAATTGGAACGACAGGGTAGGTGGTTTAAACTCACCAGCTGCTCCTCAGAAATCCTAGATACTGGGATGCCAGGAGTCAGAACTGACTCGACTGCACTTAATAACAACAACAAGGGAACTAAAATTTGCTTTATTATAACTGAGATCTCAAGATGCTCCTTTAACTAATATAATAAAAGGTTTATCTGTATCTGCTTTCTTCTTAGTAGCACTTACTGAAGTGCAACACTGACTACCTAGATCATATAGAATAATTTTCACCACATCACATATTGTGGATTAAATTGCATACTGAAGTCCTTCCTCTGTACAGGTGGATGTGATCCTGTTGGGAGATAGGGTCTTTCTTTTGTTATGCTAATGAAATCATTCAAGAGAAGGACAGGTCCTAAATCTAATCACTTCTGAGCTAAACAAAATAGAATAGACACAGAGATGCACAGAAGAGGATCCATTTACATGTAAAAGAACCCTAAGGACTGCAGGTAGACACCAGAAACTAGGAGTGCTCCACAGAGGGAATCAGAAGGAACCAAGAAGACATTGATATAGATTTTTGACTGCCAGAACTGTGAGAGAGAAAATAAATTCACATTCTTTAAAACCACCCATTGGTGGTATTTCTGTTATGGTAGCCCAAGGTAAGTAAGAGCAAAAAAGTCCAATGTTTTCTTAATATAGATGCTAAGTATGAATCTTGACATTCCCTAATTTTTGTCTTCCAAGCCAACATTGTTTTGTAAACCAAGGCATAGATGGAGTTGTGTTACCAATTAATGGATAAAGAATGTGCAGCTACAAAATACCCTCATCTATGAATGGGTCACAAGGAGCTCTGATAGCTTAGTGGTTACGGATTGGGCTGTGAACCGCAAGGTCAGCAGTTCGAAACTACCAGCTGCTCTGCAGGAGAAAGATGAGGCTTTCTGCTCCTGTAAAGATTAACAGCCTCGGAAACCCTGTTCAGGGTCGCTATGGGTTGGAACCGACTCGATGGCACTTAACAACAACATGAATGGGTCACAAAATACCAGGAATGCCAATTATATTTAAATCAGATCAGATGTTTGTGACTTGATTCAGCTTCTTGGTGTTTAGTTTACAGTAAGTAGATTTGTTGAAGAACGAGTTCATGAAAGCCCATTGGGTGACTTTAGAGTTGTAATACCGTGGGAAATTTGCATGACTTCAAAGAACCCTTATCTGCTCATTGCTAGTTACTGATTGATACTTTCCAACTTTATTCCTCCTGTGTGTCTGAAATAAACCCCTGAAATATTTACTATTCCCATTTACAAAGGATAAGCAATTTTAGGGAGTCCAGGCACTTCTACACATGCTGTTTTGCTCACCACTACTCATGATTAGGTTGAATCCTGCTTATTAAGAAGCCTAGAAATTTCCTTCTTCACAGTCTTTTCTCAAATACATTCCTAACAAACTCCATAGCAATGAAAAGTTCAAAATTTGAAAATGCTCCTAATTGTCATGGTAATAATGGGATGTTCTGCATATGTGGGGTCACCATGAGTAACACCACAGCAACTAACAACTATAAATAATGGAATTATGCTTTAAACTCTACCATTCATACATACCTAATTGAGTGCCTTTGATTATCTGAAATTGTGAAAGTAAATTCACATGGTGCATGAGTGAACAGGGGTTACGGCAGAGTCTCATTGGAATAAGTGTAGAAAGGGTATACTGACATTAGAATTTTTCTCTGTGTAGGTGGTAGTGTATCAAGGAAATGTCTAATAAATAATGTTGTTTTCATTCTCTAGGTAACCAAAAACCACATTTTTTTTTTTTTTAGAAGTAAATCTCTACATAATGGCCAAAACAGATAGGGTTAAGGAAAGAGATGAGAAATAGATCTTACCCAGCAGGTCTTGTGTCCTCAATAGCTCGGTCCACTGGGATCAAATCACTAAGGTAGACATTGAAGTTTCCTTCTTTCCATCTTCTCTGTGCCTCTTTCTCCTTTCCAGGGGGAACAACTACTGGGCGTCCAAACTGACCTGGAGCTTTGGGGTCCCTTGGAGAAAGTGTCACATCAATTCTTAACACATGGTGCATTCCATTGTCTTCAGGTAAATGGGCTTTTATATGAGTTTGGTTCTGCTCTGCAGGTTGGGCCTTGCCAGGTAAGTTGGTTATTGCCAGCTCTAGTCCCTTAACTAAGGATTGGTTTGTTTGAGATATTCTTGTTCTCTGTAGAGCAAGTAAGGAGAAAGTTGCCTCACTTTTATTCCTGGAAATATGTTTCTCTTGGCTTTCACCCAATATTTTAGGCAAAAGAGTTTTGGTTTTAGAATTGGTGAGCTCTTTGGTATCTGCTTTTTGCTCTTCTTCCTTGGTAATAATCACAACATGGCTTTCAGAGAAATTGAATTTCTTCCCCAAAGCCACTTTAGCTCCATCATCCTTTGGCAGGCCTCCCAACTGTGTCTCATTAATAGATTGCTTCTTTAATCGATTTGAGTTGGCAGTGAACTTGGAGAAGGGAAGACCCTTATTGGCTTTGTGTTGATTTGAATTTAGTTCTTTGCTCTGAATCTCAGTTTTATTTGAGACTAAAGTTCCCTCAGATTTTGGCTGTAGGGGACTGCCAGGGAGTGTCCTCTCATGTGCCACTGTCTGGGATTGCTGTTTTGGTCTTTCAGTATTAAGACTGACAGTCACATTCAGATCACTTTCAACTACTTTTTTTGATGTGTTACTGCTGAGAACATGACTTTTTAGGACCTCCTGGTTTACATCAATAGGACCTGAATGTACAGATATTTTGACCAGTGGAGTTCCTCTTGCAGTTGTGAATGGAGCTTTCCGAGCTCCCTGGGCTCTGGTTTTCTTTAGTCTCATTTGGTGAGAAGAGGTTTCCTGTTGGATATCTTGCCCCTCTGTTTTCTGCTTGGTAGGAATCACTGGGAGTGACTGCAGATGTCCCGGATGCCACAAAGGCACAACCTTGCTCCTTCCTGGAGCATTCTGCACTTTTCTTTCTCTTTGGGTTTGGTCCACATCTTCAACTCTGTGCACACTTTCCTTAGCTTTTCTAAAGTTCTCTTTGCCCCACATCCCCTTCCTATTTCCCCTTAGGGCGGGGTTTATCTCTTTTATGTTGCTGTAAAAGATTTTTACTTGGTCTGGCGGAACTCTGAATCCTGTCCGTTCCCTTCTGACATCCTTCTTGCCCACACGAGTGTTGATATCACTGAATGAGAGGCGGAGAGCTGCCATGTCAAAGAGCAGCCAGATGACAGAAGCTACAAATATAAATGCCAGGACTCGCCCACTTCCTCGGAAAAACTTTCGGACCTTGTTCATGGTACAAAGGCTTTCCTTGCAGCTTGCCCTCCCTTTGAGCCTGCTTACCTTGCGTGAAGAGGACCCTGAAGTAGTAGCAGTAGCAGCAACAGTAGCAGCAGAGTTGCGCCCCCCTCCCCTGAACGCAGCAGGAAACAGCAGTCCAAGGGGAAAGCTCAGCTCCTACTGCTTGTCAGTCTCTGCCTGCGTGGCATTTCACAGCAGAGCATCTGTGCCTGCTCTTGCGTCCTTGTTAAGCCCTAGTAAACATGGGCATTAGGTCACTCTAGGAGCAACCGATTCCAGCCACAAGATGGTTCAACATATCACTCCTCTTGTCTCATTGAGTCCATGTCCACCTTCCTACAAGCCCAAGAAAATGTGGGGGCTGACCGGGCTGCAACTTCTCTCCTCCCAGTTCTCAGTCTGCATGCTGTAACTCAACACCACTTCTCATAAGGAAAACATTTCAAGCCATTACCCAGAAAACTTCATTCAGCTCTCACCTTCTGTGTTATGTGAGCCTGTATATGTGTGTGTGTGTGTGTGCATGTGAGTTTGAGCAATTAAACAGAAAGAACTCTATCTAACTCAGAGGGCAAGTGTTCCTGTTTTGTAACCTTATCTCACCACGCCTGCTCATTAACCCTATTTTACCCAGGGTTAATGGTAACCCAAATGACCTACCTGAGCTGTTAATCACTGAACCAAATGTTACAAGGTAACAGCTTTAAGAAGGGGTACAGCATATCCTTATTAAAAGCCTTTCTTGTGGGAGGGGGACAAAATGTTTCTAAGTCAGCATTTATTATTTTTTTAAAATATCCCACCTTAGTAGTTACCAGTTGGGCTGCTAATTTCACGATCAGCTAGTCAAACTACCAGCAATTCTGGGGGAAAAAGATGAGGCTTTCTGTTCCCAATTTACAGCCTCAGAAACCCTATACAGGGTCACTATGAGTCACAACTGAGTCCCCGGCACATAACCACCACTACCACTTTTATTATTCGATTCAACATACATAAACTTAATCTATCAAATTCTTATAAAAGCTTCCAAATGGTTATTCTCATTTTTGGTTATTATTTCATTAACGATCAGTACCAAATATGTTGAGGTGTGCACGAGGTGTGGTGGAGTCCTTGTGTGGCGAAGTAGGTTAATGCGCTGGACTGCTAAGTCGGTTTCAACTGCAAGGCTGGTGGTTCAAACTTATCAGCCACTCCTTGGAAACCCTATACAGGGTCACTCTGGGTCAGAAACGCCTTGACGGCACTTAACAACAACAACCAGGTGTGGTGGCTCTGTAGTACAAGTATTGGATTGTAAACCAGAAGGCTGTCTGTTTGAGCCCATCAGCTGCTCCACGGTTAAGGCTTTCTTCTCCCCAAAATATTTACAGCCTGCAAAGCCCTATACAGCATTGTGTTATGTCAGAACCAACTCCAGAGCACATAACAACAACAACAACCACAACCAAGACTTAGACCACATTTTGTTTAATGCTAGTACAAATGGTTCCCACATGGGCTTCATATAAGAACTCTAGGGAGGAAGCTCTCTGGTTCATGGAGATAGGGAGTGATGGTTGCTCTTGTACTTTTAAAAGCGTCCCATGTTTTTCTGCTATGCAACCAGTTGAGAAACACTGGTCTAGAATAAAGTATTTTACCAATCTTTTTTATTTTTATTGCCTGAAATTTTTGAGAAATTACTTCCCAGATGTATAGAGTAAACATATGAAAAGTTATACATTCCAGTACTACTGAATCATAACCTTAATTTTTAGCATCCCTGGTTATAAAGTTTGTGCATCAAGTTGGAGAGGCATGGTCCAAAATCGCTGTTTCCTGAGAAACTTTTAGTGATTTCCAGACATCAGTGACAGTTATTGCTCTAGTATTAGTGTCCATGCAGTGAACTAAACTGAGGTTCCCAAAACCTTAAGGAGGATTGCAGGAAATGCATATATTTAAAAAGAAATTCTTAGATTTCTGAATCTATCAGGATGCTGCCTGAGGACCCCTCAGATTGGGCTGAGATCAGAGGGTGAGGCCACAGCCAAGCTGATACAGCAATGAAACCACATCTGGAAAAAGAGGTATGTTGGCTTTTTCCACTTTTCTTTCCTCATCTCCCCTGTCGCACCGTCTCTGCCTAACCCAGAAACCTTAAGGCAGGTGGGAGCATACCCCCAAAAGGGTCCAAAGCTGTGCCCACAAGGTATAATTTTCCCACGGGACAAAGAGGAAATCCCTGAAAGTGGTCCCACAAGCTAATCCTTTGGCTTCTTCTTAATATGTCTAACTCTGGAACTCAGTTCTAAAGCTGACCTGGGCGGGGTCTTTATTCTGGCCCTACCTAACAAGAGACAGCAGGCCTGGCCATACAGCCAAACTTATTTGCACCTTGTAAAACCCCAACATAAAAGGCAAGAGCCAACACCAGCTACTATACTATATACAAGGACATAGCATTTTGAGAATTATGCTGTGCATACATAGATACCTAACTGACCTTCAGAGATAAAAATAGTGGATAATCTTTCTTCCATTAATTTCTCAATATCTATCTTTGCACCTCCACAGTGGTGACTAGAGGGGTCTGAGCAAGTGGACACCCCCACCCACCACTGGAGGTTTCTACTGTGCATGCACACTGACCTGTGCAGCAAAGGCTACTGGGCAATCGGCTAAAATTTTATTTTTTGTTTTTGTGTGGCGGTTTTTGTCTCTGTTTTGTATTGCTTCTCTTTTGGGTACTTTTGGTCTCACTTTTTTCCTGGGGGTAGAAGCTTTCTCTCCTATATTACCCAAGAAGAGGCAGCAATTGTGGCCATATAGCCAAACTATAAGCATAGCCCATAATATTCCACCATCTGGACAAGAGCCAATACAAGCTACTAGGCATTACACAGATAGGCAATACTTGCTAAGATAGCCTGAAGCTGAGTAATAAGAGACATGAAAAGGGAAGCCTATCTCCAGGTCACATCCACCAGGAGACACTCAGTAAGCTTAACAATACAGCAACATACATTCATTTAATCATTGAAAATGCATCTAACTATTAAAAATGTCCAAATAAAAACAACAAAATATCTCAGCACATGTCCAAAAACAGTAAAGAATAGCTGAGACAAACGAGCTGGAGGCAGACATAGATATCTCATTAGAAGAAGAACAGGCTTTGGATCTGCCTGAGAAGGAACTCAGAAGAATGACATGGAGACAAATCCAAATGCTCCACAGAGGGGTGGAGGAAAATAAGGAAGAAGTCAGGAAAGTGCTACAGGAGCAATCAAACAAGACAAATAGATATAGCATTGGAAACAATTCAAAACTTGCAAAAAGAGGTCCAGATAATTAATAATAAAATATCAGAAAATAGACAGTATACTGAAAGGGCAAAGGAGTAGAATTGAAGAGATGGAAGCCAGAACCAGTGAGCTGAAAGACAAATCTCTCAATACTGCTAATATAGAAGAGCAAGCAGAAAAAAGGATAAAAACGTCTGAAGAGAGTCTAAGGTTCATGTTGGATAACATGAAGAGGAATTACTTAAGAATTATTGGCATTCCAGAATAGGAAGAATCTCAGAGGTCCACAGAAGAGATAGTTGAGGAGCTGTTGGAAAAAAATTTACCTAACATCTTGAAGGATGAGAAGATAAACATTTAAGAAGCTGAATGAACCCCAGGAAGGATAGAACCCAAAAGAAAATAACCAAGATATATCATAATCAAGTTCTCCAAAATCAAATACAAGAAGAAGCAGCCAAAAGATTAGCTTGTGGACTACAATTATAGTGCTTTTAAGCAGCCAGGGAAAAGAGAAGTGTTACCTACAAAGGCAAGCAAATCAGATTAAGTTCTGACCTCTCAGCAGAAACCATGCAGGCAAGAAGGCAATGGGGAGACATATATAAAACCCTAAAAGAAAAAAAAAAAACCCTGCTGATCAATAACTGTTTACCCAGCAAAACTGTCAATCAAATACGATGGTGCAATCAAAATATTCCAAGATAAAGAGAAGCTAAGAGATTTTGTCAAAGCCAATCCAATGCTTCAAAACATCCTAAAGGGAGTTTTTTTTGAATGAAAACCAACAAGAACAGATAACAACTAGAGACTTACAGATGTGGAAATGCCACTCAGAACTCAATTGACAGATAGCAGACTTCAGAACAGAACAAAATTACAACAAAGAATTCAGCAGACCTGTGAGGTCAATCAAAGATCAAAATAATAACAATGTCAAAGAAGGGAAAAATATAGGAATAGAGAGCTAGGTGGTGAGGAAGTCAGGTAGATTGCAGGATACAATAGACTGTCTTAAATGGAGGGAAAAGTTAGTAGATTATAGGGTAGCCGCAAAGAAAGTTAATACTTCACAATTTACTGTGAAAATGAATAATCCAAATAGAACAAGGAAACATGAAGAAGAAACGGACAAGAAATAGCAC